TATATATAGCTCCCATATACATTTTCGTCCAATTAAATATAAATGGTGCGCCACAGTCCCTAAATATATTTCGATATGCACAAAATTTGGCATAGCGTACTGAATTGAGTGTATAATGTTGAGTTCTAAGTTTCGTGAAAATTGGTTCAGATTTAGATGTAGCTCCCATATATTTTAGCCCGATTTAAATGGTGCACCAAATTTCTAATATATATCTTTCGACCAATTTCAATGTCAATGTTCTTTCGAAAAGGCGACGTCTATGTACTATGTAGAATATACCCAAAGTGGTGAAGGCTATAGTCGACCCAGTCCGATTTTACTACTTTCCTCACTGCTTTTTTTCGAAATACATTTTGTATAACGCACTGTGATGCAGCATACGGTTGCTCAAATACTTCCATTTGTACAGCACAATACTAATTTTGTTCGATTTCATACAAATAATTGACATTAAATTTTTGGTCAAGAAAATACCGAAAATTGTGGGATACCCTTTTATGGGAGCTATGCTAAACGTGGGCCGATATCGCCCATCTTCGAGCATGACCTAACAACTCCATGGAAAATGCTGACATGGCTGGATCGTCTTAGAATTTTACCCTGATCGGAAAATATCGATGAGATACAAATGAAATAACAAAAGTAATATACCCTCCATAGTATGGTAGAGGATAAAAATGTATTTATTTATAATGAAAAGTCCCTAAAATAAGAAAAAATATCAGACATTGTGTTTATTTTGGCGAAAGTAAAAATACGATTGTCTCGCCAATTATTTGTATAATTTATATATAAGTACGTGTTCCATTCCACCGTAGCTACATACACTTGAATACATTTTGCAAAGTAATAGACATCACGGACATTTGCAAGTTTGTTTTTGTTCACATTCATTACTTTTTCGTATCTCATTTCAATCAATTTGCTATTCTCCAATCTACTTATCTGTAAAATATGTCAATTAAAGTAGCTGAAATTTTAGAATTTTCCTTTTTAACAATATTGAATGTTGAAAATTTCACATCAACTGACAATTTGCCAAAAGCTAAGTGGCAGAACATTGAAATTTTTGGTATTCAGGTGTACGCATTTTATTTCTAATGAATAACTGCCAATCAACGGTGAATACAAACAAAACTAAGGAAAAATGTGAATATGAAAAAAAACCGTGAGTGGGAAATTATAGTCGGACGAGGCACACTACCAATGGTCTTAAATTTTCGATGGATCTATGTGTAGATTTTGCTTAATTTTTTGATACCATGTTTGAAGTTTTAAGATGCATGCTTATTTGTTGCCCAGATAAATTCTACATAAATTTTTTCGTGTTCTCTAAATCATAAATATAGTTTATAGAGCCAAAAATAACGTGCTTGGCCAAATTGATCTCATATATATTAGGTTGGGGAAAAATAAATCAATTATTTTTTCGGCAGATGTCTGTACTGAAAAATTTCTCGTAAAGTATCGGTCAAACAATTTCAGATTTATGCTCGATGGAAGGGTGACATTTCGCAGTAAAAAAATATTTTGACGTTTTTTGCTTGGTGAATTCTGTTGTGAGTTACAGGGTGATAAAAATGGAAGTGAACAAAGAGAAAATTCGGTACATGTTACAGTTTTTCTTTACAGTTTTTTTCTTTTGTACAGAAAATGCAAGCCAGAAAATGCAAGCATGGTTCCGATACAGTAACAAGCAATTATGTGCAATTTTAGTTTCGTAGATTCCGTTCAGGTATTTTAGATGTATGCCTTTTGTCAAAAATTCCGATAAAATCGGAGAAATTATCGAAATTAGCAGTCGTAACATCACCCAGGATTTAAAAATCGACCATAAAACTGTTTTAAACCATTTACACAAAAAATAATGGATTTCCTTTTGTCCAAACTAATATTAATCTGTCATAAACAAAATCTATGGCTACCAACCCTAAACTTCATGTGATTTCGTATATAAGATTAATATTAGACCAGTGAGCGGAGCTGTGTAGTCGGACTGCGGAGTAACAAATAACTCTAACATTTATATACCCTTCAACACACTGTGGTACAGCGTATTATGTCTTTGTGCATATGTTTGTAACAGGCAAAAGGAATCGAGATAGACCCCTGGTTCTTTTTGAGAATATGCATAGAATCACTTCCTAAGTCGATTTACGCATGCCCGCCTGTCCGTCTGTCCTTGTTAAATTTTAAACAATGTACAGACCACATTTATTATTCGAATTGGATAAATTTGGCACAGCTCATTCATTTGGCCCAAGGACGAACCCTTTTGAAATTGGGAAAAATCGGTTCAGATTTATATATTTTCGTCCGATTTAATGTAAATGGTGCACTAAAGTCCCTAAATAGCTTTCGATTTGCACGAAATTTGGCATAGCGTACTGAATTTAGTCCAGACTGATGTGTGCCAAGTTTCGTGAAAATCGGTCCAGATTCAGATATAGCTCCCATATATAGTTTCGTCCGATTTCATGTAAATGGTGCACCAAAGTCCAAATATCCTTCGATTTGCACGTACTGAATTTAGTCCAGACTGATTTAGATATAGCTCCGTTATATTATAGATTGATTTTAAATAATTGACACACCAAGGATCCAATATATGGCTGATAGGAATAAAACGTACCGAAATTTGTATTACCTAACCTGTGACAAGTTTCGTTTAAATCGGTTCATATTATTTTCGCCCGATTTGAAGTAAATTAGTCGTCAAACTCCTCATGTTAGTCAGATTGACATCAAAGTTTTCACAACGTACAAAATTGAGCATAGAATTACTTAGTTGCGTTTTCTAGAAGTACAGACCTCTTGATGACCTATTGATATTTGTTTGAAGTCGATTTGCATACCTTTGTCCCATTGTAACAATCGAATGACATGTTTATGGATAGATCTAAGTTGATTCACATTTAGATAAATATCACATATTTTATTTCATACAATTTCATGATAATAGTCCTGTTTAATATACCCATAGTGGTGTAGGGTATCATATAGTCGGCCCCGTCCGACTTTACTACTTTCCTTACTGGTTTTGTTTGGTTCATTTGACCCGCTTACTATTAACAGTTCATTATTAAGACAGTCATACAAATTTGTCCTTGACCATAACCGGAACTTCATGGAAAATTTCCTAGCCATCAGCATTACATTTGCGCTTTCTACTAAACAATATCAACACCTTTAAATATTTTCGTATAACTCCAACATCGAGTATATACATTATTATAATTGGTATAAATTTAAAGGCCAACCACTCCTCCGGAAAATATTATCAAATTTTCGGATCTGTGTCCTTCAGGAGTAAATACAAAAGCCAGAGAATAAAATTTTTCATATTTCTCACACAATTCTGAATCCATTTTGCCCTCCAAATATTGACCGATCTTAATCAAAACGTTCACGCTTATTCTATGGTCAGTCCCCTTTTTTTGTGTAAAACTTCGTGATGTTCGGGTCAAAATTGTAGCGATCTAGAGCGATCAAAAACAGACAAAAATAAAGTTTTGGTCCATTCCATCCCCTAAATATGTAAGACGGGTTCTTTGGCCAGTGTCTAACACACATCTCTAGGTCGACTCAGCTAGTAGAGATATTATATCTGTATATTAAAAGAAGAGACCAATATTTCGCGTCGTTACAAACATTTGGTGGACATATCGGTATATGTATATTTTTAGTAGTCTCTATATCCAATAGGACTATATTATCGACTTCTTCAGTCTATGTCTTTCCACCGTATATATATGCACCATACAATTGTTGTGGCTTTTGACGCAAAATTCTCGGTCCATTTGTCCCGCTAAATATTGACTGATTAACATGACCATATACCTTTAGTCATGCGAAATTTCGTGATCTTCAGGTCATACTTGTTATACCCTTCACCACACTGTTTTACAGGGTATAATGTCTTTGTGCATATGTTTGTAACAGGAAAAAATAATCGAGATAGACCCATGGTTCCTTTTGAGAATATGCATAGAAACACTTTCTGAGTTGATTTATGCATGTCCGTCCGTCTGTCCGTCTGTTGGTGTTAAATTGTAAACAAAGTACAGGTCGCATTTATGATCCGAATTGGATGAAAGTTGGCACAGCTCATTTGTTTGGCCCAAGGAAATTTGGCGATATTGAAATTGTGAAAAATCGGTTCAGATTTAGATATAGCTCCCATATATATTTTCGTCCGATTTGATGTAAATGGTGCACCAAAGTCCCCATATATCTTTCGATTTGCACGAAATTCGGCAAAGCGTACTAAATTTAGTCTGGAATGACGTGTGCAAAGTTTCGTGAAAATCGGTTCAGATTTATATATAGCTCCCATATATATTCGTCCGATTTTAGGTAAATAGTCCACTAAAGTCCCTAGAAATCTTTTGATTTGCACGAAATTTGTCATAGTTTATCGAATTAAGGCTAGAATGACGTGTGCTAAGTTTCGTGAAAATCAGTTCGGATTTAGATATAGCTCCCATATATATTTTCGTCCGATTTTATGTAATTGGTGCACAAAAGACCCTATATACCTATATAGAATATACACAAAGTGGTGAAGGGTATCATATAGTCGGCCCAGTCCGACTTTACTACTTTCCTTACTGGTAGGTATTAACCAATATTTACCAAAAAATAATAGCAGTCGCCTTAGACCTTAGACCATTTGTGAATTTTCTTGATTTTGTCTATGAAAATTAAAACCTCCTTTCAGACAATTTAATTGGCAGATATATGGTTTGATAAAGACTCCTTCTTGTGTTTCTGACCGATTTTAGGCATTTTCTTTGCTCACCTCAGGGTGGAGGACAAAAAAGTTCGGCCCGTTTTGATGCACTTTTCTTAGTATTATTTTCCGGTATTATATTTTTCATACGATTTTTTTGTAATTAAAAAATAATTACAACTACGCAGTTTAACATACTTATTCGATATTTTTATTTTCATCGAACACATCCAATAAAAATACATTCAAAAATATATATTTCTTATCAATGTTTGGTTAGACAACTTTTTAGACTCTTAACACTTTTAACTTCTGGAACATCGCCATTGGCAATTGTTTTCTTCTTTTGCAATGACCTACAGCTTCGTAGAGATTTGGTTGATTTCGAACAAGATTTACTCGATTTTTCACTTGTCGTTAATGAATTTGAACGTGTACTTGGCGCCTTTGATACCGGTTTCTTATTGTTCCATATATTTAGAACAAATTTAATTTCCTTTAGAAATGCTTGCTTAAATGTCAAACCTTCTTCGGCTGCCACGTGATGTGTATATAACAAAAAATCCGTTATACCAATAATATAGGCTATAAATATACCAACATACAGGGTATAGAAAATTCCACGAACATTGTCAAACGTTAAATCGGGTGTATCTTTTTCCGGTGCCTCCTCATGATCACATGAGTTGTTGGTATTTTTCCACCATTTTTGTTTTAGCGATGGTAAAATGCCCTTCTCTGCCAGGCGTAGAATTGCCACGTTCAGTGAATGACGATATTCGGCACCTGAAATAAAAATTAAAATTTAATATTGCGTCGTAAACATTTCTTGGTATTTTTTGTTCTTTACCAAACGGCACAGCAATGGCATAATGTTTTTCACCAAAAGTTTCACCCAGCATTTGCAATTTACAATTCCGTTCGGTATTGTACTCCAACGAGGTGGTTTCCATCAAAAACATATATGAGCCATTATTCTTTAGGACTCTTTCAACACCTTCATTGTTATCTTTTGTATAGACCGGAGGCTCTGACCCCTGCATTCGATTAAACGCCAGACGATATGTGGTTTCATTGGATTCGGCAAACAGGGAATAGGTGCTGCCACCTTCTATAGTACCAAATTTCACTTCATTTTGCCCCGCCAAATCGGCAATGCTGTTAATTGAACCTTCCATTTTACTGTTCGTTAAGAAGGCAGCCATATTGGCTGTGTATGAGTTATTGATGATAATGGCGAAAATCCAAAACATGGTTGTGAAAATACGCATTGTTGAATGGGTGGGTAGAATGTCACAACCTGCTGTCATAATCGAACCAATTGTTATCCAAATACTATTCGAAATAGTCCAACGATTTTCCACAACGTCGGGATTTTTATTACAGGGATGTGGATTTTCCCAATCTCCAACAGTTATTCTGAACAAAAACGGAGGATTGCAATGACTTGTGTAATGTAGCAGAAGTAAGTTAACGCCTTACCTCGATATGGCAAAGTAAAGAAATGATATTATGAATATCGATGCCATAACATACACCCATACTTCGCTCTGAAATGGTTCTAAAAATGCACTCCATGATTTCCGCTCGACTGGTTTCTTATAGGCCAATATACTAATACCCAATGTCATGAAGGGAACACTGAAATCAACAACTTCCTTGCGTGCTTGGGTGATAGTCAAATCGCATAACCCCATGTGAGCATCCTGTAAAAAAATTGACAAATGAGATAACTTTAAAATCGTGGTATAACTCTTTTGAAGGCATGTTTTTCAGGAGTGTAATGTTTGCCCTTAAGGTCGGCTCAGACGATCGTGTGGTGGACGTTTAGAATAACTTAAACAGGTCAGGACCTTTATGTGGGGTGTAACTTGTTGTAAATTTACTTATAGTAGTTTGTATATGTTCTAAGAATATTATATACCAAATTACTTACACTCAGGATAGAAATTGGGCTATAAACTGCATCATACTGTCGAAAATATTTTATCGAACTATTTTTAAATCTGAACATAATTCGCTACGGGGTGCAAAATTTCGATTACATCCAATAAAGGTGGGGTCGGACATAAAATCGGTCCAAAATGTATCTATGTGGATGCTACAACTACTCCTGATCAGATTTAAACGAAATTTAGCACATCATTCTAGACGCTGTAAAAGTCAAGTTCTGTATTGAAGAGATCCAAGAGGTAATTTCTGACATTAACACCTAACCTTGTGTCAGTTAAAGTTATCATGCATTGCCGCATTAATTTTTCAGGGAAGCCGAACTCTGACATGGCTTTAAACACATCTGAGCGGATTGGGCTGTTGAATGCGGCTTTATAGTTGACGAATAGTCGGAAGGTGTCAATATGTTTTTAGTGGGTCTTTTCCAGGATTTGACGCAGAGTGAAAATCTGGTCTATGGTGGATTTGCCAGGTCTGGATCAATAATATTATTGCATAATATTATTGAATTGATTTGCCAGGTCTGAAGCCGCATTGGTATGATCCTATAATGTCATTGACCAATGGACAGCACTTTATATGCGATGGGAAGGAGACTATTTCCTCTATAGTTGCCACATATCGTCTCGTCTCCTTTTTTGTGCACCGGACACAGGATACTGAGGTTCCAATCATTTGGCATGTATTTCTCTAATCAAATTGTACTAATCAGTTGGGGCATGCTCCTGATCAGAGTCTGACCAAAGGCCTAGAATAGTTCGACTGGACAGCCAATTAATTGTTATTCTGACCTCATCATGGCTAGGTGGTATATACTCCATACCGTTATCTCTTATTCTTCACCGTTACTATTCGATACCAGAAGCTTTGCAAAATGCTCTATCCAGATCCTCAGCACACTGTCTGTATCTGTCACCAGGTTTCCTTCTTTGGGGTTTTTTACACGTTGGTAAAATTTACGGACTTCATTCTTACTCCTGTACATCTCGATTTGCTCACGCTCTCGTTTTTCTTATTCTTTCTTTTGAAAATACGTTTCTCCTCTCTCCTTTTCACACGATAATACTCTCTCACATTGAGTGTTGCGATTGTTTGCAGCGTTGTCCTATACGCTGTGTTTCTCAAATCTGTAGCATTTCGACACTTCTTATCGTACCGCGTATTTCTTGATGGTGTCTTTGGAACCCATATGTTGCTTTTGCTGCAGTTTGCAGCGAGTGGGCAATTCTCTGCCATTGTGCTTCTATATTATTATCGGGACAAGTGGTGCTTTCGTCAAGCAATTGGGTAAGTTGAGCGAAGTAGGCTTCTGCTATCTGTTGTGTTTCCGTGTTATGTTAGATCGCACCTTTGCTACTAAATTAAGACGAGTGCGAACCTTGACTATTACAGGGTAATGGTGTGAATTGATATTCGCTCCTCGTAACGATCGAATATCTAAAACACTGGAAGAATGACCAAATTGATTTCTCGTTGCTTGATCGGAAGAAATCCAGGTGGCCTTGTGTATATCGAGATGCTTGACTTTGGTGCTGCTAACTATCATGTTTTTGCTGCCGTTGCCGAATGTTTCTTTATGGAGGCTGAATTTTCCGACGATGGAGCCAAATATATTTTTTCTTCCGATTTTTCAATAAAAATCTCATAGCAGATTTTTAATGTCATGACCAGGTCAGCGGTCATATGCAGTTTTTAGGCGCTCATAAAATATATTTTTGGTCTGTTCATCTTTGTCTTCCGTCGGAGCAGTGTCACAAATAAGACTGATGTAGAGGAACTTCGCTTTTATACGGATTATAGCAATTAGCTCATCGACTACAGATAATCTAAAGACGAGGTCTTTTATTCTCTTGTTAGCAATAAATCTGCAGACAAATTCACATCTCATTTCATGGCAGCAGTGTGTATTCATGTGATTTACTTACGGTTCATTTTCTGTTTATTTCTAGACCAATTTCAACCTAAGTATCAGTAGTTTGTATATTGTTTTCTCCTGACAGCAGTTACTATGACGTAGCTTCCACATAAAATTCCGAATCAATTTCAAATTTTTTGAATGCCCAACTCATGGCAGTGGGCACAAAAATATTCGGACCCCCAAAAAATATTTGAAAATTTTATTTAATTTTACTCACATTATTGATAATTTCGCCAATAATACCATCCCAACGTTTTGTCTCCTTATTGTATTTACCATAGCCATTACCTGGCACTGGTACGAAAACATATTCAAATTGCATTTCCTTTGACAGTTCATCAATTAAGTCGACAACATAACCAGTATAACGTGAACTTCCCATAATTTCAGTATCAGTAGCATTTTCCCTATGAAAAATCAACATTTATTAAACAGATAAAATAAAAAATATATTTTTTTCATTACCTTTCCATAAAATACGGAGCACCGATACGTGTTGCCACTTTATAAACAATTTTCTTTGTAATATTATTGGAAATATGTTCATTGTAAATGTGACCATTTGTATGACATACTGCCAGACTGTAATTATCCATTGGTTCATAGATTTCCATTTCAAATTGTGTACGATGACCATAGTTATCGAATTGCATGGATCCGTAATGAAAGTAACTATCGTTCAGAAATGATGCCTGTAATTTTATTTTACGTGGATGAGATTGTGGTTATGGCTTGAAAAAAAAAACTGAAAAGTTTTACCTGGCCCATTATCCTCCGAATGTATTCGCCAAAAGGCCAACGACCCATTTCACCACTGAAGTCTAAATTCTCACAAGTATACCGAGGAGGATCCTCTATAATATAGTGTGTGGTTATATTTTTTAGAGCCAAATAGTATAACATCACAGCATCGTGTATTAGTTTGGGTAATAACTTTTGGCTTGGTTCATTATTAACTTGATTTAAATTTGGCAACTAAAGGGAATAAAATATTAATAAAAAATAAATATTTTTTATGTCAGCAATATATATTAAACCAGATAAGAACGTATCAAAGTGGGAATAGTCCAATAATTACTTACGCCACTTTGGGCATATGCAGGAGACGCTGTTGTTATAATATGGACATTTCTTGACCATAGTATGTTAAGATTAATGGGGTTTTATAAACTCTGATACGACAAAACTATGACTATTTGGACCACAGTTAAGTTGGACAAAAATAGCTTAAATTGGAAAATAGGTAGTATCTGCCCAAATTATAATCATCGGTTTGGTGTATGGGAGCTACAGTAAAATGTGGACCAATGTATAGTATTCAAAGATCTATCTATTGGTCTCCTGTATACGGCGGTGCTCTATGCCACATTAAAAACATATATCTCATTCTAAAATTATTTTTGCCATACTTCTCCTACCAAACTCTATATGATACCCTTCACCACTTTGGGTCCTTAAAATCGAATCTAATTATAACCTGTAGATAGAACCGACATATTATCTTTAGAGGACCTTTGAAATGTAATCGGACGAAAGTAAATGTGTGATCTTCACAGTTTTTTGAATCTCATAAAAAACCCCATACGCATACCGAGAAAAACTATTTATGTAAATTTGGACCTAATTGCGCTATAGTAAAATGTGGACCAATGTACATTATTCAAAGATCTATCTATTGGTCTCCTGTATACGTCGGTGCCCTACGCCAAATTAAAAACATATATCTCATTCTAAAAACCAGTAAGGACGGGGCCGACTATATGATACCCTTCACCACTTTGGGTATATTCAACAGATGAATCTTAACAGACGTCGCATTTTTGAAGAACCAGTAAAATGAAATTGGACCCATAAACATGTCTTTCTGCAACCTATACAAAGTTTTTCACTTGGTCAGATATAGAGTTGATTCTTTTCAATGGGACAAAATTATGTAAATCAATTTAAAGCATGTACCAATCGGATATCCGTTGATTATTTGGATACATATCTGACAAACATGAAGAGTTTGGTGCGCCATTTACTTCAAATAGGACAAAAATATGTATAAAAGCTATATCAAAATCTAAGCCGATTTCATCGAAACTTGTCACAGAATTAAATAAAACTTTCCACATGCTAGGTTATGTAAACTATATATCTTTGGGTCTTTGGTGCACATTTTACTTAAAATCTGACGAAACTATATATAAGAACTATATCTAAATCTGAACCAATTTCAACAAAACTTGTCACACGTTATCTCATAATAACTTCAATAAGTTGTGCAAAATTTTGTGCCAAGCGGACCCACCTGGGAAATTCTGTGCAGCATTTATATCTAACTTATAGGTTATACTAAGTGCATTACGAAAGATATATGTGGACGAAAATGTATATGGGAGCTATATTTAAATTTGGAGCGCTTTTCACGAAACTTAACACACATCATTCTATACTTCATTCAGTACGATATGGCAAATTTCGTGCAAATCGAAAGATATAGAGGGACACTGATGCACTATTTATCTAAAATCGGACGAAAATATATATGGGAGCTATATCTAAATCTACGCCGATTTTCACGAAACTTAACACACATCATTGTAGACTTTATTCAGTACGCTGTACCAAATTTCGTGGAAATCGAAAGATATATAGGGACTTTGGTACACCATTTTCCTTTAATCGGACGAAACTATATATGAGAGCTATATCTAAATCTGAACCGATTGTCACGAAACTTAGCACACATCATTCTAGACCTATTTCATTATGCTTTGCCAAATTTCGTGAAAATCGAAAGATATATAGGGACTTTGGTACACCATTTACCTTAAATCGGGCGAAACTATATATGGGAGCTATATCTAAATCTAAACCGATTTTCTCGAAACTTAGCACACGTCATTTTAGACATAATTCAATACGCTATGTCAAAATTCGTGAAAATCGAAAGATATATAGGGACTTTGGTGCACCATTTACCTAAAATCGGACGAAACTATATATGGGAGCTATATCTAAATCTGAACCGAAACTTAGCAGACATCATTCTAAACCTAATTCAGTAGGCTATACCAAATTGCAACTCGAAAGATATATAGGGACCATTTATATTAAATCGGACGAAACTATATATGGGAACTATATCTAAATCTGAACCGATTTTCTTCAATTTCAATAGGGTTCGTCCTTGGGTCAATTAAGTGACCTATGCCAAATTTCATCCAAATCGGATGATAAATGCGACCTGTACTTTGTTCACAAAAATACATGGACGGACAGACTAGAAGACAGACATGCATAAATCGACTCAGAAAGTGATTCCCTGCATATTCTCAAAAGGAACGATGGGTCTATCTCGATTATTTTTTCCTGTTACAAACATATGCACAAAGACATAATACCCTGTACCACAGTGTGATGAAGGGTATAAAAATTGAGCAACCGTGGCGTGTACCATTCGGTATAATGCAGCACAGTGCGCTGTCCACAATTTTATTTCGTGTATCTGAAAAAGACGTAGACTCTTCGGGGTACCATTTACATAAAATCAGACGAAAATATGAACCGATTTAGCAACTTTAATGCACATCACTCTGAACCCACGTCTTCCCAACCATAGGCTCTTCGGTGCACCATTTACATACAGCGCAAAATGTTGTCTCAGTCGGACAAATATTGGGAGGACCTATAATTAGACGAAACTATATATGGGAGCTATATATAAATCTGAACCGATTTCCAAAAAACTCTGCATATATCAATAATGACCTATTTCAGTAGGCTTTGCCAAATTTTCTCAATCAGACAATCCTAGTGAGTTTGGTGCATCAGTTACATAAAATCGGACGAAAATATATAGAGGAGCGATCTGAACCGATTTTCTCCAATTTTAATAAAGTTCGTTACATATAATCGGACGAAAATATATATGGGGGCTATTTCTAAATCTGAACTGATATTCTCCAATTTTAATAAGGTTCGTTCTTGAGCCAAATATGTGACTTGTGCGAAATTTCATCCAAATCGGATAATAATTACGACCCGTACGTTGTTTACAATTTAACAACAAGAGACGGACATGCATAATCGACACAAAGACATAACACCCTGTACCACAGTGTGGTGAAGGGTATGAAAATAAAATCATACTTACATTGGTAGGCCTCTCTTTAAATCTCACCGCGGTAATGTTTAAAGCGAACGTTTCATTATGTCTTAATGGCTCCAAAATACCTTCCAGATTTTCCAAATTTGTCAAAAATAAATGCTAAAAAATATAAACAGTTTTTTCATATTATTACATTTCAAACACATACACTCGCACAACTTACATTAAATTGCCCAGTCATATCAAACGGTATCGAGGCATTTAACATTTCTACTAATATATCGGCTGGGCAGTCTAAAATTACCCTTCGATCACCTTTCATACTCTTCCATAGATTTCGATAATCATCTCCCTTACGATATTTTCGCAAACGAACTGCATCAATATAGAGATCTCTTAATTGAATAATATCCTGTAATCTCATCGGAGCGGTATCTGTAATAAATTATTTCATTATCAGTATATATAAACGTATTAAATGCGCAGAAATCTCTTAAATCACCATCATCAATGTCGTAGACCAAATTAAATTTCCTCCAACCATAGTTGTGAATAATATCGGAATAGGCTTTGGAAATCATTTGTTGTGCCGGATAGACATTCACTGTTAACTGATGGCCAGCTTTTTGTTCCTCAGGTTCCTCGATAATGGCATCGAAAAGGATGTTTGGTATACCAGTTATATTTGCGAGTACTGCAACTACGTCTGAAATAATATGTGGAAATTTTTATGAATGCGTATGAAGTTAATATTAACTATATACTATATATTGTTCAATCTAACATGAAGCAATACTCCAATCCGATCCAAACTATATGTCAAATCCAGGGCATAGATTTAGTGCAAATATGAAATCTATTGATCTATTCTTCCTAGGATCTCCGCACAGTGTTTCGAAGTAACATAAACATGATGTGTTTTAAGTCAAAATTTATCTATTTCTCATATCTACATATAATCGAAAGTATATATCAGTTAAATTGTTCACAAAAGACAGAGGTCGGTATATGGTAGGGGAGACTGGGGCACCTTCGGCATCGGGGCACCTTCGGCAATCGCGTTTTCGATATGAAGCTCTCACCGTACATCACTAGTTTCGATATATAGGTATCGAGTATCGAAATAAATAAATGACACAAAGTTTGAAATTTCTAGCTAATAAGCTTATTTAGATACATATTTTTTTGTATTTTTATAGATGTTTCTGTAATATTTCAATTCCATTTCGTAAGTATTTCGTGTATAAAACTTTTGAAATTTTTAAGACAATATTATTAAAAAGAGGTTAACTACGATGTGTATTATTATAGAAATATTTAAAAATATAATGTTTTTACAAAATTGATCGAAAAAAATTAAAAAAACTATAAAAAGTATATTCGGGGTACATTCGGCATTTTAAAATGGGGCACATTCGGCAATATACAGATTGTGTAATATTATTTCCTTAAAATGTTTTTGAGTTTGTCTTTAAAACTAATCCTTTAATATGGTTCGAAATTGCATATATAAGATCAAACGTGCTTGCATTGACGAAAATGCGATAGAAAACCCCTATTTCTGATGGTGTGTGCGACCTTGAGATGTAAACGTCCGCCGCTCGAAAATAAAGCCCTATAATTGAAACATTGTGTGGCGTATTAAAACCAAATCGAGCCTTAAGAGGATCAGAATTTCAACCAGACTGATAGCGATGACAATTACCCGGCTATGACTATGGTGCCGAATGTGCCCCATCAAATGCCGAAGCTACCCCGGGTTGGGGCACATTCGGCGAATTTGACTTTTTTTACAAAACTGTAAAATGTTTTAACTAATACTATTTTTTTATATCTTTTTGGTATATCTGACAACGACATGAGGTTCATTGACTTCGCGGCATGGTAGTTAGCAGCACCAGATTCAATCATCACAATATACACAAGGCCACCTGGATTTCTCCCAATCAAACAAGGAGAAATGAAATTGATCATGTTGTGATGTTGTGGTATTTAAATAATATTTTAAACGTTCGATCAAGGGGCGAATATGGGTTCCGACCATTAACTTGTAGCAACTAAGGTTTGCGCTGGTCTTAATGTTGCAGCAAAGGCCCCAAACGGAAGGCTTTGGTGCAGGAACATCCTCCTGTAGAGATGAAGAAGGAACCTTGGTGACCGAAAAAGAGAGCGTGTTGAGAATCTGGAAGGAGCATTTTGTAAAGCTTCTGATATAGTAAGAAGATACCCCAGAACCAGCCGAACTATTCAAGACCGGTGGCCGGGGATCAGGAGAATGTACAAGCTGATTACTAAAATTTGGCTTGAGCATCCTGTGTCCCGTAAACAGAACAGGAGACAATAATATATTTACAAACTATAGAGGAATTAGTCTCCTTCCCATCGCAAATAGAGTTCTATCCAGTGAACGACTGAAGTCAATGGTCAATGAAATTATTGGACCATACCAATGCGGTCCAATAATGTCATTGACGCTGATAATACCCGTGCTGGTGTATGGATCTGAAGCTTGGGCAAGCAGATGGGGCAGCTCTGGAAGTCTTTGAGAGAAAGATCTTTGGGCCGATCTGTGTCGACGGTGAAAAACGCCTTCGAATGAAGCATTAGTTAGAGCATCTATTATCGGATATCGGCATTGTCGAGCTGCAGTGATTATGGTGGCTATGTCATATTGTGAGAATGGATGAGGATGCCCCAGCTCAGAAGGGATATAAAAGCGAGCCAACTGATGGTTCGCGCAGAAGAGGAAGGCAACAAATTCGATGGAAATATCAAGTCGAAGTCAACATTTCAAAATCTGCTCTTTCCAATTAGAAGAGCTGCGCACAGTATGGACGCCCCTGGAAATCTCCAGTCTTAAACCAACTATGTAATTAAGTAGTTTACGGAAGCCCCCCATAAAGATATCTCTTATTTAAGGCCCGGGATAGGCCCCTTCGAAACGGACAACCCATTATTTGGAATTTTAGGGATTTTGAGTAAATCAGCTATATTTCGAATTTAATTCATGTATAGCCCAATTTTATGAGCTTAATACATAAACCACCGATTCCGAAATAAATATTGTAATAAATAAATATTGCCTAGACATTAAATACTAATTATACCCTTCACCACTCTATTATGTCTTTGTGCATATATTTGTAACAGGCAAAATGAAACGAGGTAGACACATGGTTGATTTATGCATGTCCGTCCGTCCGTCTGTGCATGTTAAATTGTAAACAACGAATAGGTCGCATTTATTATTCGAATTGGATGAAATTTGGCACAGCTCACTTATTTGGCCCAAGGACGAACCCTATTGAAATTGGGAAAAATCGGTTCAGACTTAGATATAGCTCCCATATATATTTTCGTCCGATTTAATATAAATGGGGCACGAAATTTCTTATGTTTCGATTTGCACGAAATTTGGCATAGCGTACTGAATTAGCCCCAGAATGGCGTGCGCCAATTTTCTAGAAAATCGGTTCAGATTTAGATATAGCTCCCATAAGTACTTTCGTCCGATTAATGGTAAATGGTGCACAAAAGTCCCTATATATCTTCAGATTTGAACGAAATTTGGCACAGAGTACTGAATTGGGTCCAGAATGTTGTGTGCTAAGTTTCGTGAAAAGATTTAGATATAGCTCCCTTATATATTTTCGTCCGATTTAATGTAAATGGTGTGCCAGAGTCCCTATATATATCTTTTGATTTGCACGAAATTTGGCACAGCGTACTGAATCAGGTCTATAATGATGTGTGTTAAGTTTCCTGAAAATCGGTCCAGATTTAGATATAGCTCCCATATATAGTTTCGTCCGATTTAATGAAAATGGTGTGCCAAAGTCCCCATATAACTTTCGATTTGCACGAAATTTGGCATAGCATAATGAATTAGGTATACAATGATGTGTGTTGAGTTTCTTGAAAATCGGTCCAGATTTAGGTATAGCTCCCATATATATTTTCGTCCAATTTAATGTAAATGATTTGCACGAAATTTGGCACAGCGTACTGAATTAGGTCTACAATGATGTATGTTAAGTTTCCTGAAAATCGGTCCAGATTTAGATATAGCTCCCATATATATTTTTGTCCGATTTAATGTAAATAGTGCACCAAATATCCTATACATATATCTCTCTGAAAATCATTCGATTTGCACGAAAATTGTCATAGCGCACTTATATAAGTCTAGAATGACATGTGCTAAGTTTCGTGATAATCGGTTCAGATTTTATGTAATTGGTGCAACAAAGTCCCTATATATCATTCGATTTGCACGAATGTTGTTAAAGGGTACTGAATTAAGTCTAGAATGTTGTTGCTAAGCTTCGTAAAAAGATCCATTGGCACAACGTACTGAAGTAATATAAATTAGTCTCTGGCAAGTTTCCCTGAAATCGGTTCAGATATAGATATATAACAAACATGCGATGTTTGTTAGAATACATATGTAGAATATACCCAAAGTGGTGAAGGGTATAATATAGTATACTTGTTTTTTTTTATATATATATTTAATCAGCCATTTTGGAAATCTGATTTCACATTTGTAATCAGTGACCACAGATGTTCAAAATTTTTAAAAAATGCGACCGCCATTTTCGAACCTCCCTATTGAATTCGTAAGTTTTTTTTGTAAACTCGTAATCTGCGTCCCCGAGTCCCTTATATGTGATATATATTTAGTTAATAAACTACTGCTCTAATTATGGCCAAACAATCTCTGGCCCTAGTCTATGGTACCACATTGAGTTTGTGTTTTATTTCATTTTAAGGTAAAACAAAATAGTATTACAATTTATCTATCTATGTCATTTGGAATTTTCATGCTTTAATATGTTTAAAATAATATAAAAATATAAATTAGTTTGTCTCCCATAACCATTTGATATTAAAACAAAAATAAAATATAAACAATACATGTCTGGATCTAAAATAAGCACACACACTCGTCCAAATATCCATTCAAAATTATCCACACACTATTTGGTTTTGTTATTATTCCGGACATTGACCTCAATCTCTATCAAACACTTATCAGGCAATGTGACAACAAAATACAACAAATACATTAGCTACCAATACTTACCACTGTTTGCCCTTGAACTTGGTCCAAAAATAGCTGCAACACCCATATCTAATAAGTCGCATGCTAGAAATAGTGGCGGCAAAGATAATTTTCACTTTTAAACGAATTACTTCCAATTATTCAATTCAAAAAAATAAATAAATAAATTTAAGCTAACATCAAAACAAAATGGGCCACGAACCATACTTTTCAATAAACATTGTGCTGTCGTAGGTATTTAGTCTCATGACGATTGGCTGTAGTAAAAATTCATCCTTGCTCAGGGTGTTTACAAACTCAATCGATTGCACAAAGGCTTCCTCAATTTCGAATTCATTGTCGTAGAACAAAGCACCTGTTATTTTGGGAAATGTTTCAATAAAATTATTATTTTTCATAATTTTATTTGATGTTGTAAACAGAACACCACCTATTTTGATTTGGGGAATTTCTGGAAAATTCATTTGACAATTGACAGCTGCCAGACACAATAGTAAAACAATAAATTTCATGTTTTTTTTTGGGGGGGCTTTTTGTTATATTAAGAAATAAATTATGTGAACTTATCGTGTCGTAAATTATGTGAACTCGTCGTTTCCTTCGCGCTCACACACACTTCGGTCCGTACACAATCGAATCTCGCGACTAACTAAATTGAAAATTTTAATAAAAAAACTTTTTTAGGATATTTGGTAGTTTTTGTTTTTGGAATTAGAACATTTGTTAATAAAATCATATTTACATTTCATTCTTTTAAGAGACGATCGCCTCTCTTTCGTTTTAGGAACAGTATTTGTTGAAACATTCACGTTTGTGTTTGGATTTTTTTAAGCAAACGCCAGCTATGGAAATTTAGATGTTTTGAAGATTTTAGCCGTCATTCCATTCGGAATGGATATAATTTGCATTTTATGTGTTCAGAGTAGAAAATATGTCCACGGAGAGAAGTACCAATATACATCCACATTTTAGTAAAAACTCATATAGATACTAAAATGTGGATGTACTTTGGCATATGAAAATAATAAATATGGGGCCACGTTTTGGTATATCCTCCCAATAACCGCCCTATTTTCGGCATATTAATGCTTTTAGACGCACCTACCAACCGAAGTTGTTGTTGATGGATGGCTTCTCCGATTATTCGAAAGTGAAATTTATTGGATATTTATTTTACAATTTTATGTTATGATATAACCTGAAATATTCATTTTCGAATCTATGAAATATGTATTCTTGATCAGCGTAAATTTGTAAGATTAAGGTGGACGAAATTTGCTTATTATTGGCCTTAAGAGCACCAGACACAAAATTGGATAAATCGGGCCACTATATGGGAGGTATACCAAATACCTCCCATATAGTGGGTCTTGAAAATTTTATCCTTTGGCCTATAAAATCTTTAATTTTCAACAAAATTCAATGAAAATTGACAATTTTTATCTACTTGTGTCTGGAAAGCGACTGACAAAAAACAGATCGGACCAAGATTTGGTATACATCCCATATAGTGGGTCTTGAGAAATTCAAACTTTTTGGCTTAAAAAATCTGTAATTTTCGACCAATTTCAACGAAAATTGGCAATTTATATCTAATTATGTCCATAAAGAAACTGACAAAAAATGAATAGATCGGATCAATATTTGGTATACCTCACATACAAAGGGTGTTGCAAATTTGGACGAAGACAATAATAAGTGCTGCAATTTAGTTGTTTGTTTAGTTGACGTTTCAGAGCGCTTACCATACAAATGACCCTGAATAATTAATAATATTCCTGAATAAGTAACTATTCTATACCATTAAATCACTATTTACCACTATATTTATACCCTACACAACTATGTTGTCAGGGTATTATAGCTTTGTGCAGCCCCAAAAGTTTGTAACGCCGTGAAATATTGGTCCTAGACCCACCTTCGAGTATACCGATCCTCATATCTCGACTAGCTGAGTCGATCTAAACATGTGTGTAAGTCCGTCCGTCTGTTCATTATAATTTGTAAACACGATACAGCCACAGTTATGGGTCAATCTTCACGATTGGATGGGATCTGGGCAATGAAGACCCCTATTGTTTTTGGAAGAGATCAGTTAATATTTAGGGGATGAAATGGACCAAAAACTTTATTTTTGTCGGCTTTTCTGGTCGCTCCAGAGGCCGCAATTATGGCCCAAACACCGCGATTTTGTGCATGGAGAAGGGGATTGGGCCAAAGAATAAGGATGCCTGTTATGATAAAGAGCGGTCAATATTTAGCGGGACAAATGGACCCTGACTTTTGTGTGAAAAATTACAAAATTTGTATTGTATGGTGTATATATTTACTCCCCTGCAAGCATTTGGAAGTGAGTTTCTAACTCCATCTCCAAATAAGTATCTACTTCGACACTAATTTTTTGTAAAAAGGTGATACTTCGTAACGAAGAGAAGTGGTTGACCTTTAAATTGATATCAATTATATGGTCGTATGTAAGAGTTACGTATTCATATATTATTTAGTAACCCATTACCACACTGGAGGGCGCAAATATAGCCCTGATCTCTTTGAAATGTCCATGAGGATCCAGGACAACGCCTGCATTTTTCGGTGATGATCAGATAATAATTTTGGGATGAAGTGGACCAAAAACTTAAATTTTTGTGTTTATACCCTTCACCACACTGTGGTACAGGGTATTATGTCTTTGTGCATATGTTTGTAACAGGCAAAAGGAATCGAGATAGACCCATAGTTACTTTTGCTTATTTGGCCCAGGGACGAACCCTATTGAAATTGAGAAAAATCGGTTCAGATTTAGATATAGCTCCCATATATATTTTCGTCCGATTTAAGGTAAATGGTGCACCAAAGTCCCTATATATCGTTCGATTTGCACGAAATTTGGCACAGCGTAATGAATTAAGCCTAGAATAATGTCTGCCAAGTTTCGTAAAAATCGGTCCAGATTTAGATATAGCTCCCATATATAGTTTCGTCCGATTTTATGTAAATGGTGCACCAAAGTCCCTATATATCGTTCGATTTGCACGAAATTTGGCACAGCGTAATGAATTAAGCCTAGAATGATGTCTGCCAAGTTTCCTGAAAATCGGTCCAGATTTAGATATAGCTCCCATATATATTTTCGTCCGATTTTATGTAAATGGTGCACCAAAGTCCCTATATATCTTTCGATTTGCAAGAAATTTGGCAAAACGTACTTAATTGAGCTTAGAGTGATGTCTGCCAAGTTTCGTGAAAATCGGTCCAGATTTAGATATAGCTCCCATATATAGTTTCGTCCGATTTTATGTAAGTGATGCACCAAAGTCCCTATATATATTTCGATTTGCACGAAATTTGGCATAACGTACTTAATAGAGCCTAGAGTGCTTTATGCCAAGTTTCCTGGAATGATGTGTGCTGAGTTTCGTGAAAATCGGTTCAGATTAAGATATATATATATATATATATATATATATTTCCGTCAGATTTAATGTAAATAATGTACCAAAGTTCTAATATTGCATAGATCGATTGATTTTAAGTAATTGACACACCAAGGAACCAATATATGATTGAAAGAACAAAACGTACTGAAATTAGTATAACCCAACCTGTGAAAAGTTTCGTTGAAATCGGTTCAAATTTGGATATAGATTCCACATATATTTTCATCTAAGGTAATTGGTGCTTTTAAGACCCTATATATCTTTGCACGAAATTTGGCATAGCGTGCTGAATTGCGTCTATAATAATGTGTGCCAAGTTTCATGAAAATCGGTTCAGATGTATATAAAGCTCCCATATATATATATATATATATATATAGTCGCCCGATTTTAGGTAAATGGTGCACCAAAGTCTTTGAAAATCATTCCATTTGCACGAAATTTGTCATAGCGTACTGAATTAAGTTTAGAATGACGTGAGCTAAATTTCGTGAAAATCGGTTCAGATTTAAATGTAGCTCCCATATATATTTTCGTCCGGTTTTATGTAATTGGTGCATCGATAGGATACATCTTAGGATACATCTGTTGAACAGAAATAAATTGTGAATGTCACTGCAAAGGTAAAGTACTGTACTATACATCTCCAATGCCATGTACCATGCAAGTGCCTTGCCTAAGTTTAGACTATAATTTTTCTAAAAAAGGTCTATATAATGCGTTAAATTGGTATAATCTTCAACCTGACCCAATATAATTCAAAAGCAACCCTGAAAAAGTAAAATTTTAATAAATACTAATTCGACTATACCTCCGCTTCTGATAACATTATTTTCCAATTAAATGCAAATTTTATGTAAAATATTGTATGATTACTATGTTCTGAATCCGTCTTTCTCCATCCCATTTGACCCTCAATAAATTTTCTTAATGGTATGCATAACATATTCGATCCTTAACTTCTAACTATTTCTTGAATATGTCATATTTGTAATAAGGTGTCCACTTAAAAACGTTAATAACTTTTAGATCCGCAAGTCTACGCAGCTAATTTTTTACACGTTGAAAAAGACGCTTTTCAAAAGTCAAAAAAAAAAAATTAGAACGAAACCTTTTTAAACTTTTTTGTTCTACTCCACTAATTTAAAAATTTGCTTTACAAATTATATGAACTAAGTACTAAAGGCTTGGATAGCTGTAAACTTCATAGTGTCTCTATTTACATAAAAACAACAATTAATCCTAGTTTTAACATCCCAAGCAACAGAAAAAACACTTTTATAATAACCGTTAATTTAAATATTTTAGCATCAGAAAAATGTACACATTTTTCAAAAAAATGTGAAAAAAACAATTATCAATACCGAATTTCACATTTATTCTACTTGGAGTGTTTTCTATCAATTCTCATCAATAAATTTGTCCTTCAAGGAAGTTGCTTTTCACCATTTTTGGCCGCGGTCGTGACACTGTGATTTATAGCTCGAAACATTAGACTTTGATCTTTAAACTTTTTCTATTATTCTTAGTATGATTGGTATTTGAAATTATTGATTTCCGATATTCATTGAGTATAAAATCCCATCACTAACAATTATAAATATTGGCTCATGTTTCGAGGTAGCTCCCATAGAACGGTACTCCTTAATATGCGATATATTAGGGACTTTGGGCACATTTTTCAAACGATTTGCCTCTAATTATACCCTTCACCACACTGTGGTACAGGGTATTATGTCTTTGTGCATATGTTTGTAATAGGCAAAAGGAAACGAGATAGACCCATGGTTCCTTTTGATAATATGCATAGAATCACTTTTTAAGTCGATTTAAGCATGTCCGTCCGTCCGTCCGTCTGTCCGTCTGTCTGTCCATGTATTTTTGTGAGCAAAGTACAGGTCGCATTTATGACCCGAATTGGATGAAATTTGCATAGAATCACTTTTTAAGTCGATTTAAGCATGTCCGTCCGTCCGTCTGTCCGTCTGTCAGTCTGTCTGTCCATGTATTTTTGTGAGCAAAGTACAGGTCGCATTTATGACCCGAATTGGATGAAATTTGGCACAGCTCATTTGTTTGGCCCAAGGACGAACCCTATTGAAATTGGGAAAAATCGGTTCAGATTTAGATATAGCTCCCATATATATTTTCGTCCGATTTAATGTAAATGGTGTACCAAAGTCCCTATATATCTTTCGATTTGCACGAAATTTGGTATATCGTAATGAAGTAGGTCTAGAATTATGTGTGTTAAGTTTCGTGAAAATCGGTTCAGATTTGGATAGAGCTCCTTTAGATATTTTCTCCCGAATTTAAGTACATAATGCATATAACTTAACCAGTGACAAGTTTCAATGAAATCGGTGTAGATTTCTATATAGCTTATATATATATATATATATATATCCTTTACATTGCTTTATATAATTATGTCCCATTGTAAGAAGCAACCCTATATCTGACCAAATGAAAAAATTAGTGTAGGTTGCAGAATGACATGTTTATGGATCCATTTTCATGTTAATGTTCTTTCAAAAATTCGACGTCTGTTAGGATTCATCTGTTGAATATACCCAAAGTGGTGAAGGGTATCATATAGTCGGCCCCGTCCGACTTTACTACTTTCCTTACTGGTTTGATATTTTGGATTGTCATTGGATAGAAAAGCTCCCTCCCAAAAATGATCAATATTGTCTTATTCGATATTTTGTTGACCGTTTTTCGGTATTTTAAATGTTTAACAGCATTTTTCTCTTAAATGTACTACAATTTGACATTCCAGGTTCTGGTGTGGTAAAACACATTTATCCAGAAAAAATTATATATAGGCAATATTGCCAATTTTTTTAATATTCAATTTTCAAACCAGTAAGGAAAGTAGTAACGTCGGACTGTACCGACTATATGATACCCTTCGAAAGAACATTGACATATAATGGAACGAAAATAAATATATGTATGATCTTTATCTATATTCGAACCGAAATTAATATACGTTTAAATATGTCTGAAACGACTAACATCAATCCGAACATATGCCATTCTGCAACCTATGATAAATTCCATTGCATTCGGGCAGATTTAGAGTCGTTTGCGTACAATGGGACAAATTTATTTAAATCGATATAAAACAAACGCCGACAACCGTTCAAAATATACATGGAAACTATGTCTGCATCTGCACCAAGTTCAACAAAACGATATAACGTCATTCAAGTCTCCATTTGAATCGTTGTACAAAATTTCGTGTCAATCGGGGTACATGTCTCTTTCGGCTGAATTTTTCAAATTTCTGTTTTCGCAAAAGTTACAAACCCGTATCAGGTCATTTATTGAAACGGAAATGATCCACAGAAAATATAATTAAATACGCGATACTACATACACTAAATATATATGGATTTACTCAGTTTCGCGAGTACAACAATCCTATAAATGAAATTTCTGATTGCGTACTGAAATTAGAAGTACGGATTTCAAAGTACCTTTCAGTATACTAAAGTTTGGACCGGCCGTTTTTTCCACCTTTTTTACAATAAAGTAGATGAAAAGAAACTTTCGACGTCAATATTATGAAAAGTTTGCAATTACATATCAATAAATCCAAAACTATTCAATTTTTCTCATATATTTTAATAATTGCCCATATAGGTCTATACTTGGACATAGTCCCCATGTGTTAGAAGCATTTTTCCACCTAAAGGCTGTAATTTTTAACAATAATCTTCATACGTTAGAATAAAAACCCAAATGTGTATTTCTTCGAATAAATCGTCGGTATAGGCATGTTTCTCATATAAGTATCCTTCCCAATATTTATACCCTACACAACTATGTTGTCCGGGTATTATAGCTTTGTGCAGCCCCAAAAGTTTGTAACGCCGCGAAATATTGGTCCTAGACCCACCTTTGTGTATACCGATCGTCATATCTCGACAACCTTTGTCGATCTAGAGATGTGTGTCCGTCCGTCCATTATTACTTCTAAATACGATACAGGCCACAGTTATAGACCAATCTTCACGAAATTTGGCATGTAGGATGAGTTCTGGTCAATGAAGACCCCTATTGTTTTTGGCAAAGAAATGGACCAAATACTTAATTTTTGTCGGTTTTTCTGGTCGCTCCAGAGTCCGCAGTTATGGTCCGAACATCGTGAAATTTTACATGGAGAAGGGGATCGGGCCAAAGTATAAGCATGCCTGTTTTGATAAAGATCGGTCAATATTTAGCGGGTCAAATGGACCCTGACCTTTGTGTGAAAAATTACAAAATTTTTATTCTGGGGCGTATATACTTGCTCCGAGAAGTTGGTGGTATATCCAAGAGGAGTTGTTGACCTTCAAATTGATACCGATTATATGGCTGTATGTACTCTGATGTGGGAGGTATACGTAAGTAGGTGAATAGTATTACTATTACTCCATAAGAGGACGGAAATGTCGCGTTGATCGCTTTGAAAGTGTACATAAAGTTCCGATTATGGTCAAGGACGACGCCTATAGTTTTCGGTGGAGTTAAGATTTCATTCAGGGGGTGCAATGAACCGAAAACTGTAATTTTGTCAGATTTTCTAGTCGCTCTAGGAGCAACTATTATATACAGAACATCACATATTTTACAAGGTGAAGGGATCTAACCATATACTTAGAGCGGCTATTTAGATGATGATAGGTCAATATTCCGAGTGTCAAATCAACCAAAACCAAAAGTAAATTTTTTTTATTTTATGGCGTAAAAATTCACTCAAAGAAAAATCATTTTGGAAAATATGCAAGGCTTAGAAAATGGAGTTGTTGATCTGAAATCGGTAAAAATGGTGCAAATATCACGAAATATTGTCCAGGCTCACAATATGAACCGCAGAAAATTTTCTTTTCGTGGTAGTTGTGTAGGGTATGATATGGTCGGCCCCGTCCGACTATACTGCTCCGCTCACTGGTTATTACATCAAAAGTCGCGGCATTGGCTGATTTTAGGTATATTTAATACCCACCTGGTGGGTATGCCAATTGCAACCTGGCAGAAGTTAACTGCTCTTTTATTTGTTCGAACGTGGCTCCATCTCGTTTATATGCCCACCATTATGAGGTGGAGGGTATATTAAATTTGTCATTTACTTATTCATGTATTCTTGATCATACTAAAATCCAATCCGTCTTTTCGTTGAAATGATCATAGAGATGGCAAAATTCACGATACAGAATCTATTTGATTCAAGCAAAATTATATTTAATTTTTCATCTTTATTTATAAGATTATTTCAAATTTCTAAAAAAAAAAAAAATGTAAGAACAAAAACATTGTGCGAGTATATACGATTAGATTTTCTTTATGGTATTAACAATGGCACTCTTCAAACTCTTGAAACTTCGAATACTCCTTATGCTTTTCATACTCTTCATACTTTTCCTTTCATCCATATCGGTTGTACCATTCACCCTATCCGAACGTATAGCATACGGCTTCGACGATTTGTCAGTACTACCGGATCGATGCGATGATGATGCTGTACTACAGGCAGGTGTTACAGGTTTCTTGTTATTCCAAACTTTTAGAACAAATTTCAGTTCCTTTGTTAGAGCTTCTTTAAAAGTTAACTTTTCTTCAACGGCAACATGCTGGGCATAAATTAAAAACTCCGTAATGCCAACAACATAGGCTATAAACAGGCCAACATAAAGGGTATAAAATATACCTCGCACTTCGGTGAAATTTAAATCATTTGTTTCCGAATTGGCTTTGGTTTCTTGGGGACAACTTTTGTTCTCATTAACCCACCATTTTTTCTTCAATTCGAATAACTTTCCCAATTCACCAAGTTTAAGTATGGCAACACTTAAATTGGAGCGATATTCAGCACCTGGAAATTTATGAAAATGAAATGAAAATTTATATTGGTGAAAGAATTTTAAGCAATATGTTTTATTCGAACATACCAAACGGCACAGCAATGGCATAGTGTTTCTCTCCGAAAGTTTCGCCCAACATCTTCAATTTACAATTCCGTTCGGTATTGTACTCCAACGAGGTGGTTTCCATTAGAAACATATAGGAACCGTTATTTTTCAACACCCTCTCCACCCCTTCATTATTACTTTTCGTATAGACCGAAGGATCTTGTGACTGCATCATATTGTATGCCAAACGAAAGGCGGTTTCATTCGATTCCGAAAAGAATGTATAGGTACTGCCACCCTCAATGGTACCAAATTTCACTTCATTTTGTTTTGCCAAATCTTCCACACCCTTAATGTCACCTTCCATTTTACTGTTGGTCAAGAAAGCCGCCAAATTAGCTGTATAGGAATTTGCAATGATTACGGCAAAAATCCACCACATGGCATTGAAAGTACGCATGGGAGCACTTCGTGGTAAAATGTCGCTGCCGGCTGTCATAATGGAGCCAATTGTCAGCCAAAAGACATTCGAAACATTCCATGTATTTTCCAAAACTTCAGGATTCTTATTACAGGGATGGGGATTTTGCCATTCACCTTTCGATATTCTGGAATAAAATGAGATTAGAAGATAATCGTTAAATAGATGTTTTATAATGACCCTTAACAGTTAACATCCCAAAAAGGGGATTTCATTAAAAATTTAAATATTAATGATTCCTGGAAAGAGGTTCTTTCTTACCTTGCCATAAATAGAAACAAAAATGCCATAATGAAAATCGAAAACATAACATAAATCCAAACTTCATTGGTAAATGGCTCCAAAAATGCATTCCAGGATTTCTGTTCAATTGGTTTTTCATAGGCCAAAATACTGATACCCAATTGCATAAAGGGCACCGTAAAATCCACAACAGTTTTACGTTTTTGAGTTATGGTCAGATCACATATACCCATATGAGCATCCTAGGTATGAATTTTAATAATATTTGAATTAATAAATAAAAACCAGTAAGGAAAGTAGTAAAGTCGGACTGGACCGATTATATGATACCTTCATCACTTTAGGCATATTATGGATATGTATCCTAACAGACGCCGACTTTTTGAAGGAACTTTGACACGAAATTGAACCAACTAAAATATGTGATATGTGTAAAGATAAACTATATGTAAACCAACTAACATCAATCACTGCACATGCCATTCTGCAACCTATGCTAAATTTTGTAAATCGATTTAAGGGAACCCCACCCATTCTCGATTTTAATTTTTCAAGATTTTCAATGGGTTGGTAAATCAATACCAACGCTTGTTAAGGTTTGTAACTTTGCACATATATATTTGAAGATTTAAAAGAGAAGAAAAATAATTTACAAAAAAAAATTTTTGTTGTTTTGTTATTGTTTTTTGTAATTAAAGAAAAGTCCTTCTTTTTGGTGGCAGGCACGATAACTCCTCACTGCAACATCGGAATCCGAAAATTCCAACGGTGTTAGAAAGAGTACATGTCTGGCTCTCGTATGAACTAGGATTATTGACTTCGCTCTAAAATTAACAAAATGGTGGACCTTTGAAAAAATATTTTTGGAAAATCGCCGATTTTTTACCAAAACCCAAGTTAAAAAATAAGGAAGATCTTCACCGGTTGGCTTTATCCTAGTTCATACGAGAGCTATACACTCACAGAGAAACGTGTAAAAATTTGAAATCGATTGGGTTATTAGTTTTTGAATTATCGTGCCCGCCATTCGCAAAAAAATGTTTAGAGAAAAACGCGTTTAAAGTTTGAGAAGCCCTTTAGCCGTCATCTGATGTTGACACAATAAATCGGCTATATTTTCAAGAGTTCTTGAGATTTTCACTTGAAATTTTGTAGGGACATTCTTGAATTAGTGTAAAATCGAATTAAATCCAAAAAAAAATTGACCCCGAGAATGGGGAGTCCCCTTAAAGCAAAATGTGCTGCACTAAAAATGTAAAAAAAAAATTAATCTCAAACAGACACCCATTAATTATTTGGTGTACAATTAACGTGAATAGGTCGAAATCTATATATATAAAAATGAATTGCTGTTCGTTAGTCTCGCTAAAACTCGAGAACGGCTGAACGGATTTTTCTTATCTTAGTCTTAAAATATTCGTAGAGCTTCAGGGAAGGTTTAAAAGGTGAGAAAAATTTAAAAATCGCGAAAAATTTGCAAAAAAGAAAAAATATTATGAAAAAAAATATTATGAAAAACAATGTTATGAAAAAATAAATATTCATTTGTCAAATATTGAAAATTTTCAAAATATTTTATTTTATTCAATTGGCATTGTAACGAAACTTTTTTTCTGAGAATGCAAAACAATAATTGAGATGAATTCGCGATCATTGTATGTACACGTTTTCCATAAAATTCACGTACATTTTGGAACAAATGCAAGGATGAAAATCTGAAGATTCAGAAAGAGTTCTGATTCTAAGACACGTGCCCTAGATTATTCTTCTTGAAAATAATAATAATAGGAACACAGTATCGAAAAAGGTGGATTACTATTACATGGGGGATATTTGAAACCTTGGGCGAACATAACATGGCAGCCAAATACCGAATATTAAGGGATGCCGTTAGATGGGGATATCCGAATACTTGAGTCAATATGGAAAATTCTAATTAGGGAGAATTTCTGCCCAATAAGTATCCCTAATATTAGGTTTGGGAAAAAGAAATCCATTAGACCGGTGGAACGATCGAATTTTACAGGCATGTCGTAACATCGTCCAGGAGCTAAAAATTAAACCATTCACACAAAGCTGGATTCAAAAATAAGCTCAATGGTTGGGTGCCTCACCAATACCAATACCGCAATTTCAGAGCACTATCTTAAAGATTATTTAATATTGGGCTATCGTTATGTGAATTATACATCAACAATATTGCTATGCAAGACAACGTTTGCCGGGCCGGCAATGTTGAATGTTGAAGTGTTCGTGGATGTTCAGGGAAGGTTTAAAAGGTGAGAAAAATTTGAAAATCGCGAAAAATTTGCAAAAAATATTTTGAAGCATATTTGCATTTCCGCGAATTTAGTATCGAGCTATATGGAAAGCACCACGTCGTAGTTCTTATTTTGAGGTATTTTGAGCGAAAATTGGTAGCGTATCATTCCTTTAAGCATACATTTGTCATTTATTAAAATTTTTCAAAATATTTAATTTTTTTTAAATTGGATTGACATTGTATTGAAACATTTTTTTGGGAGAATACAAAAAATAATTGAGAAGTATATTATTGAATGCACACGCGATCATTGTATTTACACGTTTTCCATAGAATACAGGTACATATTGGGACCAATGCAAGGATGGAAAATCAGAAGACATTCTGAATCGAGTTCGTGGCCATTCAGGATATTCGGATTCTAAGATCCATGCCCTAGATTAATATGTTTGAAAATAATAATATGAACATGTTGTTCCTTAAAGTAAATGAAATGTTGATATGCAACGGGAAATATGAAATCAGGTGGTTAAATGCCTAATCGTTTTTCAATATCTTTGAACTTATAAACAGACCACGTCGCATATATCCCATACCAAAAATGTGTATCACAGAGAAAACTAATATATGTACCAGATATTTTCTTTGCAAAAATCTATCATTAAGTTCAGCTGTAAAGAGAACAACCGACAAAAAACCCGCAAAATTAGAAAAATAGCATAATATCTAATTTGATGGTTGTACCAAAACCTCCATCCGATGTTACCTATTCGTAATGAACATGCCAACTACCGATCACACTCAGATTGGAAAACGGGAGTAAGAACCTTTAGATATAGTGCATAACTTCTGGGATGATGTTATGCCAAATTATAGCCAACTCTATGAGAAGATTAGGTCAATGTATTGAAAATGGGGCGAGACCTGTATGTATTGCTATATCAAAACTTGGACCTAAATAGGTAATTTTTCGCAGAAATGTGTCTCACCTCCAATATCCCGGAATGACATATTTTAGCTACTACAATGGGAATGGAGATATATACATTTTTGGTAGGAATATTTGACAGCATATGAGAAATTATTGGGGTTACCATTATATGGGTGCTCCCCGGAAACTTGGATCAATATTGATACAGTATTTTTCGGTTAATTGAACATCAAAATTTGCACAAATTTTTGTTCAATTAACCGAGGAACCAATTATCCGAACCCGCTTACTATGAAATGAAATAGTTTTGACCCATCATGTGGTTCAATTAAGCCTGGAAACCAATTAACCGTAGGGTCAATTAACCGAAAAATACTGTAATTCTTTGTAAGGAGATTTTGTACTCACTGATCATTTAAAATATAAAATTACAGCTAATTTGGTTGAAACACGTGTCCAAACAAAATACAGAGGAGTGGACCAATATTGACAATTTTAAGTAGGGTTCATGCTACCAAATAAAACAACCAATTACAGCTGATTAGGTTGAAAAACGTGCCCAAAACTCCAAAAATGTGGAGTGCCATTATATGGAGGCTTTTCCGAAGCTTGCACAATTTTTTAAGGAACATTTTCTACTCAATGATCATCCAATATATAAAATTAAATGAAGGGAGTACAGAGTACAGATATTCTGTTGTAAACCGTGCCCAAGATCTTCAAAATATGGAATGTTTATTGCTACCGTTATATGGGCAGTACTCTGAAATATGTGCCAATATTGATAATATTTGGTACGGATATTTTCTGTTCAATTACAACCCATTCTGTTGAAAAATCGTCAAAACTTCTCATATAACAATGTGTGTGCAAATTTCAGAGCACCATTATCACCGGATCTCTCACCGATCGATTTTCATTTTTTCAAGCATATAGAGCTGTTTTTAATGAAGGCAAGTGGAAGCACTTATCCACGAGGGAACTTGCTATCAGGGTGAAAGTACTGGCAGTACATTGATGAGATGCACGATAAGTTAAAAATTGTACTCGAATATCAGCTCCATGACAATGCTCGGCCCCATACAACAAAATAATTGCGAAACTAAAGACCATTTTTTTATTTTCATTTTTTCAAGACTGTTTTTAATGGCATCTAAAAAACGATATCTTTAAAATTTCGACAGGCATCTACGCTTTAAAATTTCGTTGGGAAAAGTGTATTGATGCGAATGGAGCATACTTTGATTGAATAAAGAGCTTTTGGAGAAAGATATGCAGTTTAATACAATCACTTAAGCATCCGAAATTTCATACGCACCAACATAAAATATGGGAGCTACATCCAAATACGAACCGATTTTCACAAAACTTAGCGCACATCATTCTAGACTTAATTCAGTACGCTGTGTCAAAACTCGTGCCAATCGAAAGATATATAGGGACTTTGGTGCACCATTTACATTAAATCGGACGAAACTATGTCTGGGAGCTGTACCTAAATCTGGACCGATTTTCACGGAATTTAACACACATTATTCAAAACTTAATTTAGTACGCTATGCCAAATTTCGTACAAATCTAAAGATAGATAGGGACTTTATTTCACCATTTGCATTAAATCGGACGAACATAAGCTATATCTAAACCGATTTTTCCCCTTTTCAATAAAGTTCGTCCTTGAGCCAAATAAGTGATCTGTACCAAATTTTATCCATGTTGGATACTAAATGTGACTTGTACTTTGTTTACAATTTTGTTTACATGGACAGTTGGACGGACGAACATGCATAAATCGACTTAGAAAGTGATTCTATACACATTCTCAAAAGGAACCATGTGTATATCTCGTTCCCTTTTGCCTGTTATAAACCACAGAAGGTTATAAGCATATAATTTCAAAAACTCACATTATTTATCAGTTCGCCAATAATACCATCCCATTGATTCGTTTCCTTATTCAATTTACCATACGAATTATCAGCAACCGGTACAAATAAATAATCAAAATGTAAAACATTGGCAATGGCATCGATAAGATCGACTGCATAGCCTATATAACGATCATTGCCGGTACGATTTTCAGCATCTTCCCTGTAAATGTTAGGCTTTTTAGTTGGTATGATCACAAACTGTTCTAAGGCCGGGCAGCTTACTTCAACATAAAATACGGTTCTCCAATACGTGTTGCCACTTTATAGACAATTTTTTTGATATTTGTCAATTCCACTACCTTTTGACTGATATGACCATCTGGATCCCATGTAGCTAGTAAATAATTATCTACCGGTTCATAGATTTCCAATGTGAAATTTATTCGTTGGCCACCATCATCGAATTGCATATAGCTCATATGGAAGTGACTATCATCGGCGGAGGCAATCTAAGAAATATTGCAAATAATAACAATAATCATTTAAATAAGTCAAAGTAATTAATTAAATTAAGAATCGAAAAAATTCTAACATCGTATGATTATGGGCGGTAAACGAACATATCGATGACTTTTGAGATATTATCCCGATTCATCAATTTCAAATTATTATTCATCCAGGTTTGACGAGGTCTTTAAAACCAATTCGATTATATTACTTACAAATTTCATAACACGATTTATATATAAACCCATTGGCCATGGATTTTCATTGCCATCTTCGTATGTGTAATGTATAGCCGGTGGATTGATTTCATACATGACACTAATATTTTTAACGGCTAAATAAAATAACATTACGGCATCGTGTATTAAATCGGGTAACAATTTCATAGTTGGTAAATCGACTTCATTCCAAATATTTCCCTATAAATGAGAAAAGAAAATTGTATTGGATCTCCCCAAAATGATGACAAAACACACATACCTCTTCACTATCAAATTCACGTTGTCTCATACGTATGGCGGTGACATTAACAGCAAATGTTACATTGTCCCGTAGCTCCTCTAAACTTGCAACTTGAGTATCGAAATTTGTCAGGAATAAATGCTGGAATGAATAAAAATTTAAAAAAACATAAAGAAAGTTCAACTGAAATATTCATTTCCGATTCTCTAAAGTATATATATTCTTGATCTGGGTAAAATTCTAAGACGATCTAGCCTTGTCCGTTCGTCCGTCTGTTGTAATCACTCTATCTTCTGAAGGAATTAAGATAGGATGCTGAAATTTTGCATATGTTTGTCTTTGTCTGCAGGCAGGTTAAGTTCGAAGATGGATCGGCCCACGTTTAGGCATAGCCCCCATATAAAGATGCTCCCCCAATTTTCGGTATTTTGGAGTTCTTGAGCGCGTTTTTAAACCGAATACGCTGAAATTTGGTACATTGAGTTCTTATTGGATACTAAATGTCTCTACCAAAAATTATAAATGGGCAATATTGCCAATTTTTTAACATAGCTGAAGCGGAGGTTCACCCCTTTATAACTGGGGAACTACTTAAGTATATGAAAAAAAGTGAATAGTTTTGGGTTAATTGATCTCTCGTTGCAAACTGTTTATGATATTGACCTCCAAACTTTATTTAGGTGGAAGCTGTTTCTACTTTAATGTAAAAAAATGTGTAAAAACAGGTTGAGGCGAACCAGTTTTTTTATGTTCTCTATCGATTTGTGACTAAGCCACTCATTGCACGGTCTTCGTGTCAAAATAAAACTAGAAGCCAACAAAATGGGGACTACGCCCCTTATGTATCATTTTTCAAAATTTTCACTGCATCTACCTTTAAATGAAATGGTATAGATCGATGTATTTTTTTAGGGTGCACACCGAAATCGGATGCGCGTTAATGGCATATGGAGATTTCGGAAATTATTCGCGTTTTACGATTTTTTGGGTACTTCAATGTAACGTGCGGCACATCTTAGCCGTCAAATGAAATTTCGCAAAATATACATGGATTGGAAGATAAACTTCAGTACTTCCTGGAAACCGCATGCGCATCAAATGGTTTTGAGAATTACGCGATTTAGACGCAATTTATCTCAAAAATAGTGTGAGCTGGCACATCCATGGTTCTTAATGGACCACATTGAAATCGGTATAGATCGATGTATTTTTTTAGGGTGCACACAGAAATCGGATGCGCGTTAATGGCATATGGAGATTTCGGAAATTATTCGCGTTTTACGATTTTTTGGGTACTTCAATGTAACGTGTGGCACATCTTAGCCGTCAAATGAAATTTCGCAAAATATATATGAATTGGAAGATGAACTTCAGTACTTCCTGGAAACCGCATGCGCATCAAATGATTTTGAGAATTACGCGATTTACACGCAATTTAAAATGTATATTTAATAATATTATTTTATTTTAAGATTTATTCCTATTTATAGAACCCCAAGATTTATCGGAAGGGTCTTGATATAATCCGCAAGGCGTATACTTATACACAAAAAGTGATTATTATATATGTAAATTTTTTCGGCGAAATTCGGGTAAAATTGCAGAATAACCCCAACATTTTTTTTCTGAAATTTCTTGTATAAAATTAAAAAAATAAATATGATGACATTATTTTTTCGAACCAAAAACAAATATTTTTCCTCAATATCTTGTTTTGTTGTCGCTGTGATTTAGAAACCGCTACACGGACTTGTGTGATTTTGACATCATTTGATTCATCATGGTGTTTAGATTATGTAGATATTTTTAAATTAATTTTTAGGTGTGTGTATGTAATTAATATAATGAAAATATTGATGTAATCTGCTATATGTTTTTTTATTTTTCTCATATTTCGCGAATATGTGCAACTTTATCGTGATTATTATAATATATTCATATTCTTATTTTACGGAGGAAGATATATATCAACGTTTTTCGTCAATATAATAAACGGCGTAATTTTAAGATTTTTTTCTTATGCCCAAAATTAAAACGTCGATAACTTTTGCGCGCATCAACCAAAAATTTGATCGCGAACGGTTTCGGAGTCAGAACATTTTTCTCTATATGTGTACCAAAAATCATTGATGTGCCACAAAAACAAAAAAGCTGATTTTTTGAAAATGGAATATTAAAAAATTGGCAATATTGCCCAAATATAGGTTCACTTTTTTTGGTTTTGGGGGTTTTGATCGCATTTTTCCACCTAATTGGCTGTCATTTAATATTTTGAGTTCTTAATAGGTACCAAATCTCTCCACAAGAAATAATAAATATAAGTCCATCTTTTCTTCCGTCTGTCCCTCTGTTGATGTTAAATTGTAAACAAAGTACAGGTCGCATTTTCGATCCTATTTGGATGAAATTGGCAAAAATCGGTTCAGATTTAGATATAGCTCCCAAAGTCCCTGAAAATCGTTTGATTTGCACTAATTTTTACACAGTGTATTGAATTAAGTATAGAATGACGTCTGCTAAATTTCATGAAAATCGGTTCAGATATAGATATAGCTCCCATATATATTTTCGCCTGATTATAGGTAAATGGTGTACCAAAGTCCCTATATGTCATTCGATTTGCACGAAATTTGGTATAGCCTACTGAATTAGGTCTAGAAGGATGTGTGCTAAGTTTCGTGAAAATCGGTTCATATTTAGATATAGTTTCCATATATAGATTCGTCCGATTTTATTTAAATGAGATTAAATTTTAAACAGTGCAGCAAACCGAGTAGCCCGTGTCAAATCGATTTAAACAAATATGTCCTACTGTGCGCAAACGACTCTTAACTTGCCCAAATGAAATGAAATTTAACAAAGGTTCCACAAAGACCTACATATTACATATTTAAGTTCGTTCAATATCGACCTTAAAAAAGGCGACGTCTTTTCGGTCACATATGTAGAATATACCCAAAGTGGTGAAGGGTACCAGATAGAGTGGTCCGATATTACCTATGTTCGAACTTGAACTAATTTTGGAAGAAATAATAACATGGGCAAAGTTTAGATGAAATCAAAATTTTGTAAACAAATTAGGCCCAAAGAAACATGGTTCTAGGAACAATATTTAGAACCATAATCGGTTTGTAGAAATGTCGATATAGGTACACTTTTTGGTATGTTCCCTATATTTTTATTTCAAGTACCTGTCAGTATATCTATGTAGGAGGGTATCCAAAGTTCGGCCCGGCCGAACTTAACATTTTCACTTACATTAAATTGTGCCGTCATACCAAATGGAATCGATGAATTGAGCAGCTCCACCAACATATCAGGCGGACAATCCAAAATTATACGCCTTTCACCTTTTATGCTCTTCCATAAAATTCGATAATCTTCACCTCTCTTAAATGTACGAACACGAACAATTTTCTCATTTAAATCTCTTAGCTGGATGAGATCTTGTAGACGAAACGGTGCACTGCCTAAAAATACAACAAATGAAATTGTTCTCATTTTTAATAATTTTCCATTGCCCAATGCTCACCATCATCTTCATCATAGACTATGGTATATTTTCTCCAGCCATAATTCTGTACAATATCAGCATAGGCCTTAGACAACACCGGCTGGGCGGGAAAAACATTGAGAGTCATTTGATGATTGACTTTGGAGAGATCACTCTCTTCCGCTAGATAATCGAAGAGCATGTGCGGTATACCGGTGGCATTACAAATAAGCGAGACAATATCTAAAAATATGAAAAGTAATAAAAAATATAAACAAAAATGCAAGAGCAAAACAAATAACAAGAAAACATGAATGGATTTTTGTCTCCCACACGCCGTCATAATTTGAATGTGGGTCATACATATTTTTAGCAGGGATGGAAAGTTTTTGTACAAATTGAACATGACTAATGGAACATCATTGACAGATATTTTCTTCTTAAATAATATTTTTGCTTATTCTGTTAATGTGGGAAAACCATTAATGCTCCAAAGAGTTTACTTGATTTGAAACTACATACGGCTAGGACCTTTAACATACAAAAAATGATTTGCGACATTTTTTGGAAGCCATGTCCAAAAATGGTCTTATTTTGAAAAATGTTAGCGAAAATGTTTAACCCACTGATATAGAACAAAATTTTTGTGAGGGGCATATCATTGGGCGCCACCTCCGACAAAACATAAACCGTATTGATATTTTCTGCATATAAGATTTTCAATTCCCTAGGACCCGGACTGGCAAATTATTGTTACTTCGTCTATAAGGATGGGAACCTTTCACTGTCACTTCGCGGGTAAAACCGGACATGCCAAATTACTGCTGCTTAGGTGGAAAAATTCGGATAAAACTAAAAAATGCCAAAAAATCGCGATGATGAGGATATTTCTAAATTTGGACCTCTATAATATCTGGTCTGAAAAAATGTGTTTGACCTCCAAGAAATCATAATGCTGAATTATAGCCACTTAATTAGGAAAATTCGATTAAAACCTTTTTAATACCGACATAGGGCGGGACCTCTATATGGGGACAATGTAGAATCATGGACCAAATTTTTCAAAAACCTTTAGTATCTAAGTATGAGTCTTTCGGTTGGTGCTATGGTAGAACGTGGAATGATATTGATAATATTTAGTAGAAGTATTTAACGCCCAATAAGAACACAAAATATCAAAAAGAGTACTCCCATAACCCCAAAACTTCGACCAGTATTGATTATTCATATTAGAGATATTTTCTACTCAATGGGAGCCTAAAATATATTATTACAGCCGATTTGATGGAAAACCTGTCGAAACAGCACATCACATCGAAGTTGTGAATGTACTGTTGTATGCATGCTAAAACGGTCAAGAAGCCGGCGATATTGGTCGCTATAAGCGTACGTTTCCCGGAACTGTTGGATAAGTCGTTATGGCCGAAAATCCACGGTGACTTTGCAATAACATCGAATTGCGAATTTTTTGGCAATAATTAGATTGAGTTCATGAAATAAATATCACTTATGAGGGTTTCTGCAAGAAAAACGTAAATTTTCAACACGTTTAGTAATTGCAAATGTGAAATCAGATTTTGAAATATAAGAAAACCAGTAAGGAAAATAGTAAAGTAGGACTCGGCCGACTATATGATACCCTTCACCACTTTGGGTATATTGTACATATGTACCCTTACAATTGTATGTCAATGTTCACTCGATGGAACATACTCATGCCTTTCTGCAACCTATGCTAAATTTAACTTCATTCGGGTAGATTTCGTCGTCTGCGCACCATGGGACAAATGTATGGAAAACGATGTATAGCAAAATTGATACACGATATTTGGTACGTCGCACTGTTTAAAATTTAATATCAATCAGATCCAATTCAGAACCAATTTCAACAAAACGCAATAATGTTTCAGTCTAAGACGTTGTGCAAAATTTCGTGTTAATCGGATAAACATTACATAAAATCGGACGAAAATATATATGGGAGCTATATCTAAATCTGAACCGATTTTCACGAAACTTAACACACATCATTCTAGACTTAATTCACTACGCTATGCAAAAATTCGTGCAAATCGAAAGATTTTTAGGGACTTTGGTGCACCATTTACCTAAAATCGGGCGAAACTATATACGGGAGCTATATCTAAATCTGAACCGATTTTCACGAAACTTGGCACACATCATTCTAGACTTTATTCCGTACGCTATGCAAAAATTCGTGCAAATGAAATGATTTGCAGGGTCTAAAGTCCGTAAATCCGATAAAAATATATATGGGAGCAATATCTAAATCTGAACCGATTTTTTCCCAGTTTCAATAAAGCCAAATCGGATTATAAATGCGACCTGAACTTTGTTAACAATTTAACATCAACAGACGGATGGACGGGCATGCATAAATCGACTCAGAAAGTGATTCTATGCATATTCTCAAAAAGAACTATGGGTCTTTTTCGATTGCTTTTGCCTGTTACAAACATATGCACAAAGACATAATACCCTGTACCACAGTGTGGTGAAGGGCATATAAAGGAGGTTATATTGGGACTACCCCTAAAAAGGGGTGAATATTAATAATTTTTAGTGGGGATATTTGTTACCATATACGACTACAAAATACCAAAAAAAAAAAACGCGCTCAAGAACCTCAACATTTCGAAAAAATTACCTATGTTTATAATTTTTTGTGGAGAGATTTACTACCCAAGAACTGAAATTACTAAATTACAGCTTTTTCGGCGAAAAAATCCGGTCAAAACCCCCAAAAACTGAAAGTGGGGAGGTACCGTTCTATGGGGGCTACCAGAAAAAGTGGACCTATATTTATAATTTTTAGTGGAGAAATTTGGTATCCAAAAAGAACCCATTTTACCAAATTTCAGCTTATTCGGTTGAAAAACGCGCTCAAGAACCCCGAAATACTGAAAATTTGGGGGTACACTTATATGGGAGCTATGCCTAAACGTGGACCGATATAGCCCATCATCGAACTTGACCTGCCTGCAGACAAAAGACGACTCTATGCAAAATTTTGGCGTTCTATCTCAATTCGTTTAGACGCTAGAGTGATTACAACAGACAGACGGACAGACGGAAATCGTTAGATCGTCATAGAATTTTACGCTGATCAAGAATATAAATACTTTATAGGGTCGGAAATGATTATTTCGATGCGTTACAAACGGAAAAACAAAACTAATGTACCCTCCATACTATGGTGGAGGGTATAAAAATGGGGGTACCGTTATATGGGGGCTACACCAAAAGTGGACCGATATACCCCTATTGTAATACCCAGCAACCTAGGAGTACTAGCAACTTTTGTACAAAATGTCAAAGCTCTATCTTCAATATCGCGATCTCCATCGATATTTCACCAGTCGGACATGCGTAAATCGACATAGAGTATTATTCTGATCAAAAATACATATACTTATCTCCGATAAATATTTCAAGGTGTTGCAAATTTAATATACACTTCACCATATGGACTGATAAATCCCATTTTCAACTATAATTCTAAAGATAATTCTAGGGTTATTAGCAATGTATGTGATGTCTATCATGATAATAACAGATGGACATTGCTAAATCGGCATAGAATTTTATTCTAAACATGCGTCGATGTCTTTACAAAAACAACGACCATTTCAACTTCTATGCGAAGAAGTTTTTAAACCAACAATAACACAGAATGTAAAATTGCAGAAACTTTGGCTGAAAAATAAATTTAAAATTTAGCTCCACATCGGAAGTTGGATCGATATATCTCTGGTGCAATACCAATATTCTACAAATAGTATAAATATATGTGCTAGGTTTTCACTCTATGTTTAATATTGCGAGCTTATCGTGATTTCTACTGTATGAATAATCGGCATTGATTTTTTTGTTTGATTTTCCTACAACATTTCTTTCCGCAAAAATTTACCATTCCATCAGAATTTCCATCTCTGATTGGGCACACTTTGTTCATACATACCACTGTCTGCCTTTGAACTTGGTCCAAAAATAACTGCGGCACCGTTTTCTATAAGTTTGTTAGCTGAAACATTTTTAAATGCGTTTAATTAATTGTTTGTTTTCACGCTAAACATTTTAATACATACTTTTAGTTTCCAAGATTGCCGTACTATCCGCATCGTCAAGTTTTTCAATTAACGGTATTAATTTAAAATTCACTTCATTTTGATTATTGATTAAATTTATTGTTGTTACAAAGGATTCCTCAATTTCATATTCATCGTCGTAAAATAATGCACCTTGAAAAGAAACAAACAAAATTAAAAAACTAATATGAACACCAATTTAATTTTCCAAAATAAAAACAAAATTTTTACCAATATTAATATTTTCATGTTGATGAGAATTTTTTATAAACAGCACAGCGATAAAAAATGCACTCCATATGCAAATATTTCTCATTTTGTTTTAGTTTTCATTACGATTTTTTGGTAATATTAATGTATATTCATGATATGTATATGTATGTGTATAATATTGTCACTTTTCACTTATGTTATTTGTTTTTTTTTCGTATCGTACAGTATTCCATCAGCACCCAACCGAATCTCGAAACTTACTAAATATTAATTTGATATTTGTAAAATATTTCAGTGGAACATATTTTCGAAATGAGAGAAATGTTTTTGTTTTTTCTCTATATGTGTGCGACAAAGAATTTTTCTCATTTTACTCATAACATTTCTTCTTATTATTAAGGAGAAGAAGAACATATGGAAAATATTATTAATGAAAATGCATATTAACAAAAAAAATGTAGCGACACTATATAAAAAAAAACAGTTTTCCAAAAGCAATGAAATTCGTATACGAATATAGTAAAGCAGAAATGTTACTACCAGCTGCAAAATATGCTTCTTCATATAAGGAAAAGGATGGTTGTTTTTTGGTAGAAATGTTTTATCTCAAATTCGTAGTTAGATATGCACCTCATTCGAGGTATAAATAAAGACAAGTCCTTCTTTTTGGCGGCTGGCATGATTTCCGATTACTGAATCCTCAAAATCTACCACAAATCGATATAGAAAACCAGCAAGGAAAGTTGTAAAGTCGGACTGGGCCGACTATATGATACCCTTCACCACTTTGGGTATATTCTACATATGCATCCGAAAAGGCGTCGCCTTTTTGAAGGAATTTTGACATGAAATCGAACGAACTTAACTATGTGATTTTTATGTCTTTCTGGAACCTAAATTTCATTTAATTTGGGCAAGTTTAGAGTCGAATGCGCACTGTGAGACATATTTGTGTAAATCGATTTAAAGCAAACTTGACACACGCTATTCGGTATATATGGAAGCTATATCTAAATCTGAACCGATTTTCAGGAAACTTGACACACGTCATTCTAGACTTAATTCAATATGCTATGCCACAATTCCTGCAAATCAAATGATTTTCAAGGACTCTGGTGCACCATTTACCTAAAATCGGGCGAAACTATATATGGAAGCTGTTTGTAAATCTAAACCGATTTTCACGAAACTTAGCACACATCATTCTAGACCTAATTCAATAGGCTATACTAAATTTAGTGCAAATCGAAAGATATATAGGGACTTTGGCATCCCATTTACATTAAATCGGACGAAACTATATATGGGAGCAATATCTAAATCTGTGAACCGATTTTCTCCAATTTCAATAGGGTTCGTCCTTGGGCCAAATAAGTGACATGTGCCAAATTTCATCCAAATCGGATCATAAATGCGACCTGTACTTTGTTCACAAAAATACATGGACGGACAGACGGACATGCATAAATCGGCTCAGAAAGTGTTTCTATGCATATTCTCAAAAGTAACCATATGTCTATCTCGATTATTTTTGCCTGTTACAAACCTATGCACAAAGACATAATACCCTGTACCACAGTGTGGTGAAGGATATAATAAAGAAGATTTTGACCGATTCCATAAATCATCCGACAAATTTACTGTCAAACACTCCAAGATTTGTCTCATTTGCTTGCGCAAGTACCCATGCTTCAGATTTATATAACAGCACGAGTAGTTTCACTATCTTGTAGAGTGTGAGCTTGGTCTGGCGAGAATTGCTTACCGCTTTTGGTTACCGCTCGCAATGTTCGACCCATTATGTCGATGTCGTCGGTGTAGGCGCGTAAAATTTGCTGCTCAGAGTGTCATTTCTGTTCATATTTGAACCTGGTATGACCTTTTCCAGCAGGATATTAAAAAGATCACACGTCAAACTGTCACCTTGTCTGAAACCTCGTTCGGGGTCCGAGAGGTCCTTTATATGCGATGGGAATGAGACTAATTCCGTCTCCTTTTCTGTGCACGGGACACAGGATGCTGAAGTTCCGATTTAATGTAAATGGTGCGCCAAAGTCCCTATAAATAATCCGACTTGCACGAAAGTTGGCACAGCGTATTGAATTCAGTCTAGACTGATGTGTGGAAAGTTTCGTGAAAATCGGTTCAGATTTAGATATAGCACCCATATATATTTTCGTCCGATTTAAGGTAAATGATGCGCCAAATTCCCTATAAATAATTCGATTTGCACTAGGTTTCGTAAAAATCTGTTCAGATTTAGATATAGCTCCCATATATATTTTTGTTCGATTTAATGCAAATGGTCTCTATATATTTTTCGATTTCCACGAAATTGAGTCTAGAATGATGTGTGCTAAGTTTCGTGAAGATCCGTTCAGATTTTAATATAGCTCCCATATATATTTTCGTCCGATTTCCGTAAATAGTGCACCAAACTCCCAATCAAATTCAGACTTGTATGACGTTATTAGGTTTTGTTGAAACTTATGCAGATGCAGCCATAGCACCTGTATGTATTTCGAACGGGTGTCTGATTGAGATTAAATTTTTAACAGTGCGGCGTACCGAATAGCGTGCATCAATTTTGCTATAAATCGTTTTCCAGACGACTCTAAATCTGCCCGAATGAAAATAAATTTATCATAGGTTCCAGAAAGACATGAGTATATTCCTTCGAGGGAACATTGACATACAATTGTAAGTATACATATGTGCAATATACCCAAAGTGGTGAAGGGTATCACATAGTCGGCCCAGTCCGACTTTATTACTTTCCTTACTGGTTTTGTCAATTTTCAAGACCAAGAAGTGAGAGAGGTCTTTTAAAAAATATATATGATTTAAAATCACTCTAAACCCTATGTTTGATAAATAAACAGCTCAATAGTATATGGCAGTTATAAAATAAGTATGTGAAATGTTTGTTTTATTAAAATTCCTTCCTCTTAATAAGCTGCATCATTTTATTTCAACCATAATTATGTAGAATCAATAAACACAGCTACTTAGTTTATTTCAACCACATTATTGTCTTCACTCTAGACGTTTTAAATATCTTCATTCGTTATACGTTTTTATTTTCCCCCTTTTACCAATAAAACGTTTTAAAATGAGGGTTAACAGCCTATCGTATTGACCCTGAATATCTGAATGAATAAATTAATGAATTAAAACGAGCGAAAAAAACAAAACAAATACACTGTACTTCATTTGCACCGCGTTTTCACGTTTCATTCAACTTTGTATTGTGGGAGTATTTTGCACCTGCCTGCAGCCGTGTGCTTCGCAATGGCCCCATTATAAGGGGGACCATATCATATTGTTTCGCTAAATTATCTCATTTAGATGCTATAAAGGGTTGTTGTTTTTTTCATCTTCTTAATTAGCTTTACGTTAGGTTAGGTGAAAAAAACAACAACAAACATTCTCGGTTTCTAAAAAGGTAGCCCTAAGTGGTTTAGTAGTAAATCAGATTGTTTTTATGTTTTATATTAATTTTTAATGTTAAACAATACCTTTGTGTTTTTCTGTTATTTTGCAAAAACAAGCAAGGGTTTATCGCAAAATCTTTATTCCACCTTAAATAAGACCAAACTGCTTAGCATATATTTTGATTACAAAGGGATATTTGTTCGGTAATGTAATTTTTTATTTGGTCGTAATGGTATAAATTGTGATTGGTTAGGAAGATTAGAAGTCTTCTCATTTTTTAATCATGTGTTAACGGACGTATTTAAGGGGATCCCCTTGGGTTTCAACAAAATGAATATTGGTTTTCTATATAATTGAAACCTAAACTAATTCAGGAATGTTTCTTTAACATTTCAAGTGAAAACCTCAACAACTCTTGAAGATATAGCCCATTTGTTGTGTCAAGCGACGGCAGAAGTTTGTTTCTCAAACAGTGTTTTGTCCTATTGTCACATTCGACAGCCCTATCCGTTCAAAGGTGTTTAAAGCCATGTCTGCGTTCGGCTTTCCTGCAAAATTAATACGGCTATGCAGGATAACTTTAAGTGGCACATGATCAGCAGTTAAAGTAGGAAAGAACCTATCGGAGCCCTTCAATACCGAACGAGGATTCAGACAAGGTGACAGTTTGCCGTGTGATATTTTTAACATCCTACTGGAAAAGGTCATACGAGACACAAAGGTGAACAGAAATGGCACTCTGCACATCAAACAACACCAGTTACTCGCCTACGCCGATGACATCGATATAATGGGTCGAACATTACGAGCGATAACAGCCACCATTGAACAAATTGAAAAGGAGTCTGCCAAAGTGGGTCTGGCAGTAAACGGCGAGAAGACCAAGCTGATGGTATCAACGTGCAAGACGTCCAGTAGACTCGGACCAACTGTGGAACTTGAGAACTACAGCTTCGATGTACTTAAAGACTTTATATACCTTGGTACCGCCATAAATAAAAGGAATGACATCAGTTTTGAAATTCGGAGAAGGATTGTGATGGCCAACAGATCCTACTATGGTCTAAGTAAGCAGTTTAGAAACAAGCCCACCTCTCGCCAGACCAAACTCTCACTTTACAAGACGCTGATACTACCCATGCTATTATATCAGATCAGAAGCATGGGTAATTGCGCAAGCAGATGAGGCAGCTCTTGGGGTGTTTGAGAGAAAAATTCTCCGAAAGATCGACGGGCCGATCTGCGTCGACGGTGAATTTATACGCGGACATCGACATAGTCAGTCGTATTGAGCTGCAGCTACTACGGTGGCTAGGCCATGTTGTGCGGATGAATTAAGATTCCCCAGCTTAAAAGGCATATAAAAATGAATCTACTGATGGTTCCCGTAGAAGGGGAAGGCCACGAATTAGATGGAAAGACCAAGTAGAAAACAACATCTTGGAACGTCTTTGAAATTGGTGGACATGCGCCCAAGACCGACGCGCTTGGAAATCATTTTTAAGCTCGGCTTATGGAACAACTGTTCTGTAACAAGCTAGCTAAGTAAGTAAGTACATGTTTGCCCATGCAAAAAAGAGTAGGTAATAATGGGACGAATCACTTGCTTGTATATATGTATATATAGAGTCTCAGCAAGGCAAATTCCATTTTTTGCCCTTTGAAAGC